GGTCATTCAGGAGCCTATTATTTAGTTTTCATGTATTCATATGGCTTCCAGTATTTTGCTTATTGTTTATTTCCAATTTTAGTTCATTGTGGCCTGAAAAGATAGTTGGAATGATTTCAGTTTTTAAAAATTTACTGAGACTAGATTTGTGACCTAATATGTGGTCTATCTTGGAGAATGTACCAGGAGTTGATGAGAAGAAAGTGTATTCTTTACTTGTTGGGTGAAATGTTCTGTATATATCTGCCAGGTCCAGTTGGTCTAGGGTGTAAATTGAATCCTGTGTCTCTTTGCTGACTTCTTGCCTGGAAGATCTGTCCCATACTGAGAGAGGGGTGTTCATATCACCCACTATTAATGTATTAGGTCCTATTTCTTTCTTTAGGTCTAAGAATGTTTGCTTTATATATCTGGGTGCTCTGGTATTGGGTGCATACAAGTGTATGATTGTTATGTCTTCTAGCCGGATAGATCCCTTTTTCATTATATAATGGCCTTCTTTGTCTTTTTTTATGTTTTTTGGTTTAAAGTCTATTTTGTCCGATATAAGAATAGCTACTCCTGCTCATTTTGGGTTTCCATTTGCATCATATATCTTTTTCCATCCCTTCACTTTCAGTCTATGTGTGTCTCTACAGGTGAGGTGGGTCTCTTGAAGACACACATACTTGGGTCTAGCTTTTTAATCCAATCAGTCAGTCTGTGTCTTTTGAATGGTGAGTTTAGTCCATTCACATTTAGAGTAGTTATTGACAAGTGTTGCTTAATTCCTGTCATTTAATTGTTTCTTGTTTAGATGGTTTAAAAATCTTTTGATCATTATTTCCTCTTTTATTTCCTTTCTTCAATGTTCTTTGGGAATTTAAGGTGGGGTGATTTAACTTCTTTCTCTTTCTTCCTGGCATTTTTGTTTTAAGAGTGGGTTTTGCTCTTTTTTGTGTATTTGTGATAGTCATCACCATTATTCAGATTCCAGGTGAACAACTCCCTTGAGAATTTCTTGCAGGACTGGTTGTGTGGTGGTGAACTCCCACAACTTTTGTTTGTCTGGGAAATATGCTATTTCTCCCTCATTTCTGAAGGAGAGCCTTGTGGAGTAAAGAATTCTTGGCTGGAAATCTTTTTCTTTTAGTATTTTGAATATATCATTCCATTTTCTTCTGGCCTGTAGGATTTCAGTTGGGAAGTCTGCTGTTAGTTTGATTGGGGTTCCCCTATAAGTGACCTGACTCTTTTCTCTTGCTGCTTGTAGAATTCTCTCTTTGTCTTTGAGCTTTGCAAATTTAACTATAATGTGTCTTGGGGAGGATCTTTTTGGATTGAATCTGTTTGGGGACCTTTGAGCTTCCTGGATCTGATGGTCTGTATCTCACCCTACACCTGGGAAGTTTTCTTTTACTACTTCCTTGAGGAGGTTTTCAATACCTTTTCCTTTCTCCTCCACTTCAGGAATACCAATTTGGATGTTAGAGCACTTGAAGTTGTCTGCTAGCTCTCTTAGATTTTCCTCGTTATTTTTAATTCTTTTCTTCTTTTTTTGTCTGCCTGAGCTATTTCAAAAAGACCATCTTCAAGCTCTGAAATTCTTTCTTCAGCTTGCTCTACCCTGCTGCTCAGGCTCTCAGTTGTGTTTTTTATTCAGTTGAGTGAGTCTTTCATTTCTAGAAGTTCTATTACACTCTTTTTTATGGTATTAATCTCCATGTAGATTTTGTCCTTCATATTCTGGATGTTTTTTCTTGTTTCATTGTGTTCTCTAATTAAGTCTTGTTGCTTTGCCCCCCACGGATTTGTCACCCCTCTTCCCCTGGGTGACGGAGCCACAAAGGATTACTCAAAGACCATCTCTTCTGAGCAGTGAGAAACCCCAAAGTGGTTAATCTCCCCCTGGAACCCTCAAGCGAGAGGCATCCCTTCCTTGGGAAATTAACCCCGAATTGGAGTTCTCTTCCTGCATTTATTTTCCAGACCAGGAAGTTACAGGAAGAGAACATAGGTGGGGTTATAGTTTAACAATATAGGCTGGTAACTTTCAGTGAAACAAGCCAGATGACATTCCAGTAAGGCAATTAAGTGGTCCTATCAACAAAAGCTTTATCTTAGCAAACATTCCTTCTTACAGCAGTTTCTCAGTATCTTTACATAACAATCAGTAACTAGTCTATCCTTGAGCCAGCAACCTTGCTGAGCCACAAATCTTTTTCTTACACCAGAGACTTTATAGCCTGAGGAAAATTTCCAGTCCTCTGCGAGGTCAATATTTGAAACTGCAAGGCTTTGGAAAACCAGGCCCTATGAAGTACATTTGCTTTAAGAATCCTCTACAGAGTCTTCCTTTATTTCTTCAAGTTTTCTTAAGATCATTGCTTGAAATTCTTTTTCAGACATTTTGAGGATTCTCTGTTCCATGGAGTCTGATTTTGGAGGATTACTTTATTCTTTTGGTGATGTCATTTCTTCTTGATTGTTTGTACTTATAGTATTTTTTTGTTGACGTCTGGTTATTTGGTAGAGGGTTTGCTTCTTCTGTTACACTGAAGTTGGCTATGGAGTGGTCCTGGTTGCTACTGTGGAGGTGAATTTTCTTTGCTTGACAGTAGGTGTGGTGGTGGTTATGTTTAACCACCTTGATTCCTGTTCCAGAATCTGTGGTCGTAGAATGAGCTCTTAGTGCCGCACAGTTCTGTTGGGCATAACTTGGTGGGACAGACCCCACAGGCTGGTGCTACCTGCCAAGACCAAGGAGGGGGGATGAAAGGGCCACGTCTAGACATGCGGTGCCACTGCCACTGCTGCCACTGCTGGTCTCACCTTGGTGTGGGTTCTGGAGAGCGGGCCCTACTCACCCCAGTTGCCACAGTGATTTCACGTAGGAACTGGCCATAAAATGGAAAATTGAAGGACAGATTCACTCTGATTCTGGGACAGCTGCATCTGGCACGGGCCTCAGGCTGCTTCTACTCATGGCAGAAAAGCAGCAGGCAGCTGGTGGGTACAAGGAGATCACATGGCGAGAAGAAGAAAGAGAGAGTATGTATTGCTTTTGTAAGCAGACAAAGGCATAAATGTGTATATGTTAAGCCCAAATTAACAGTTTTCACACTATGCCAGTGTTTCTCAAGGCAGTGGGGGAAGCGGGATGAATTTACATGCTTGCTCAAGAGGAAGAAGAAAAGTGGTTGAGCTACAGCTGTATGGTAGGCAGAATTCTAGATGGCCCCCAAGATTCTCGCCCCCTAGTGCACATACCTCTCATTCTGTCAAACGCTAATGTAGGTGTTGCTGTGAAAGGATTTTATAGTCATATTTAAAGTCCTTAATCAGTTGATTTTAAATTAGGGAGATTATTGTGGTGGGCCTGACCTAATCAGGTAACACTTTTAAAAAGTCAGAAGTCAGGTTCAAGAAGAGACTGCTAGCCTTTAAGTAGGCACAACCATGTTGTGCATTGTCCATATCAAGGACTTGAGGGTGGCGTCTGGGAGCCTAGGGTGGTCCCCAGGTGATAGCCAACAAGATAACAGGGACTTCAGACTTACAACCACAAGAAACTGAATTCTGCCAACAACGAGTGAGCTTGGAAAAGGACCCCAACGCTTAGATAAGATCAAAGCCATACACTGCCAGCAAAAAGGAGCATGCCAAAAACATCACCTCCATGTGAGTGGCCCACCACAGCCACCACTATAACCATGGCAGCCACAAAAGCAGCTAGATGCCCCAACCACCACACAGATGGTCCACCAGCCACTGGAGTGCATGGAAACAAGGAGAGTCACCAGCAGAGATAAAGAAAAGAAAAGGACGTCTCTCTCCACAAAGCCCTTTTCAGAGTGACAGAAGAAGTATCTGCTCTATGATAATATTGGGGGACCTGATCACACCTCTCAACATTGGACAGATCATCTAGGGTAATTAAAGGGGGTGGGGGAGGGAGAGGGGGATGGGGAGAGATTAGACAAGGGGCATAAAGAATAATTATGATTTGTAACAATATGTATGCTAGTAATATTGATTAGATCAACATATCTCAATGTTGAACCCAAAAAATTTGTATAATGAATTTTGATTCAATAAAAATTAAAAAAAAAAAAAAAATAGATCACAGCCGTGGCTGATGCCTTGATTTCAGCCTAAGGATGCCTTGATTTCAGCTCCATCCCCAGGCTCCTGACCCACAGGAACCATGAGAATAAATCCATGTTGCTGTAAATTGTTAAATCTTTGGTAATTTGTTACACAGCAATAGAAAATTAACACAGCTGGAAGTGGGAATCAAAATCACTTATAACTGGCAGCCTGAGGTATCTATCCCCAGCCTGATACTTAGGATTTAAAAAAAGAAGTTGAGAAATGCTGTACTACCAGGTAAGTAGGTAGGTAATGGAATAAAACTTGTGTCCAGTACAGTGGTATCCCATCAATACTGTTTTGCCGAGAAATTTTATTTTTCCTTGTAAGAGAACAGGGAAGGTGGTTAAGGGAAGAAGTCACTGCAAAGATGTAATTGCTTTGAAACATTGACCTTTCCAAAAATATTTTTACTCGTCTTTCCTTTAGAGACATACTAATATAGCTCATGAGCATTTCTGTCCCTCTCTCAGCAGTAAGTGTTCTACCCTGTAGAACCTGTGTGGAATGTTCTTTGCCTTAGTCTCTTCTCCATGTATGCTATTGGCATCTTCCCTTAACCACCCTCCCTGTTCCCTTCCTCCCTTTATCATAACATTTGTGCAAAATCTGAAGTTGTATCCTCTCGGGAAGAGTCTCATGCTCTTACATAAAGCCTTGACTCTTTCATGTGAAAGACCAACCATCTCTTAACCATTTTAAATAAGGCAGTTCACATTAAATATTAACCTGTAATGGCCAGTTGTTTTCTATTTCTGTAAACCATCCACCAAAATAAAATTTAAGAATGTTTTATTCAGAGAAAAGAAAATTACATCACAAACTGCAATAAAATATAAAATTGAGGATTGTTTTTCCCCTCCCTTTAGAGTATGAAGCTGAGATACCTCCTTTTCCAGAAGTATATAAACAAGAAGCTGTGATTACTGTGAGTATTGCCCAGGCCTCAACCTAAATAATAGACTCTTATATGAGAATAGCACTGCAGGCCAGTGAACCTCAGACAGTGTCATGGGAGGTGGGAAAAGGAAGGACCTGGAGATAGAACCAGAAACTTGGGGCCAACCCTAGCTCTGCTACTAACAGTGTGACTCAAAGAGTATCACATAACCTTTTTGAGCCTTAGTTTCTGCATCTAGTGAGTGGAATAGCCAATCCTTGACTAACTCCCAGGGCCTCTGTGGGGCTCAAATGAGATTCTGGGTGAGAAAGGCCTTTATAGTGGATCTAACACCATATCCATGTTGGGGACAGTTGCGGATAGAGCAGGTTTCTTTGCATGCCAGGGTGGGCAAGATGAAGGCTGGGCTGAGGAGAGAGGGCCAAGGACAGGGCAGCCAGGAAGGGAGGCCCTCAGGAATTAAATAGGGACTTAATGGAGCTTAAATTTTTTTAAAAAAGCAAGTCTCTTAGAGAGAACAGAACTTGAGCAAAGTCACAGGGATGGAACAAAAATCTAAGTCTTTAGACTTCCAATAACTTCCGTTACTACAGCTGCCTCTGACACAGGTTCTTGTGTCCAAAAACTCTTTGTTGTTCTGTGATTGTTTCTTTTTCATAACATCCTGTTCTTGCTTTATGGATGTAATTCTTTCTCAGATTTCTCTGCAGATACTAATTACAGTTCTCTTCCTTTAATTTTCTGTGCTTCTTTCAGGATTAGTTGATCTGCTTATAGATGGTCTTTGTCTTTTATGCTGTTGATTTTCTTGATCTGTGTAGGGAGTTTTGATTGTTGATTCAAAATTTAAATTGGGGGCCTTAGTGGATTTTTCTTTATAGCTGGCATATTAGTCAGGGTTCTCCAGAGAGACATAACCAATAGGATATATATATATAGAGAAAGATAGATAAATGAGAGGGGACTTGTTAGGGGCATTGGCTCACATAATTATGGAGGCTGAGAAGTCCCACAATAGGCCATCTGCCTCAGAACCAAGGAAAATGATGGGGTAACTATCAATCTGAGACCAAGTAGCCCGGGGGCTGCTGGAGTGTGAGTCCTGGAGTCCAAAGGCCAGAGAACCTGGAGATCTGAAGTACAAGGGCAGGAGAAGAAGGCCATCCGGCTCTGGGAGAGAGAGCAAGGAGCAAGACTTTGCCCTTCTTTCACCTTTTTAATCCTTGTGGGCCTCCAGCCAATGGGATGGTGCCCACCACATTGAGTGAGGGTGGATCTTCCTTACTCAGCTCACCAACTCACACAGTTTTGCTTTCTCCAGAAAAACCCTCACAGACACACCTGGAAATAATGCTTTATCAGCTCTCTAGGTGTCCCTTAATCCAGTCAATTTGACACCTAAAACTAACCATCACAGCTGGTATGGTTTTCTTCTACTGCTGTACATGTGGGTTTGTTTTCTGGATAGGTCTCGTCTATGAGTAGGAAAACACTGACCAGGTGCTCATGGGGAGTGATTGTCCACTAGAAGTCTTTTCTTCAGGGTGAGCAGGCAGGGTCAGTGATTTGGGGTTGGACAGGGGTTCTCCAAATTAATGGTTAGTTTTTTGTTTTTGTTTTTGTTTTCTTTTGGCCACCAGCATGGCACCCTAAGTAGTTCTTCTCCTTTCTTCGTTTCATTTGTTTATAGAAGAGTCATTGTAGGGGTTTGGATCTGGGTATTAAATGCTGGTGTGAATGTAGCTTTGTGCAGATCGAGTGCGATAGAAGCAGGAGGAAGGAGACTGTGGGTAATAGGCCAGGGGAGGCCAGCCACATTTCCACTGAAGCCCAGAGATTTGTTTGCAAATCTCTCACCCGCAGGTGGTCCTCCCATTCTTTTCTCTATTAGCCATTTTTATTCTTTGTCATTTCTAAGTGTCTCAGAAGGGAAGGGAGACAAAGATTGTGCTCAGTGTGTGCCCTTGAACCTAAAGTCTGATGCAGAGTTTTATTCCTTTGTAAAGTTATTTTAAAACTGTTTATGAGTTGACTCCCCTCCCCCACCCATCACCAGGTTGATTCACCATTCGAGGAAACAGTTTCACATGGCGTCAATACAGAGCATTATTTTCCAGTCCCCCGTTTAACCGTGTTCTCACATGTACCCTGTCCTCAAGATAAACTGGAAACAGCTGATCCAAAAACATGTAAGTAAGGAAGTGAGATTTCATCTTCTATAGTTTTGGGCTTGTAACATTACAAAACCCCAGAGTGGGGATGGGGGTGGACAGATAGTCCTCAGGAAGACCACAAACAGAAGAAAAAATGTGTTCTTGTTTTTATTTTTAAGAGAAGAATCCTTTATTCCACTGAATTATCTTTAAGTCTAAAATGTAATAAAGAGACTAAAAACAGGCATACTTTGAGTCTTCGTTAAACACGAAGCAGGGTAGAAAAGGGTAAACAAATATAAAAAGTGGAAGAAAATATTGTGCTGCCCTTCTTTGTGTGTAGAAGCCAGAGGTGTAGGCTGCAGATCTTCCTTCCTGAGCACCAGTTCCTTGGGCCTTTCCTGGTGCCAGGCCCTGTCCTCCTGGTTTGTTCTATGCCCTCTGCTAGTGTGCTTTGGGCCTTGGCCAACCACCGCCGCCATTACTGTGGCCATAAGACCCTATCCATTATACTCCCATCCCCAATTCCTCTCTGACCTTAATTTCTACCACACTGGCCTCCTTGCTGATACTGCCTCTGGGCCATAACAAGAGACTCAGAGGGACGAACATTTTAAATTTCTTTAGTAATACAGCCCAACTTAGTCTGGAGCAAAATGTAACATTTAAGGTCATATTGGATGAACGGTATCTTTTTTTGGTTCAGAAGTAAATATTTCTCCCAGATTAACTTGGGCCATTTGGGATTTGCAGTGGGAATGTTTTTTGTTTGTTTAGGTTCCCCCAAAGAGTATTTGGAAACTTTCATCTTTCCAGTTCTGCTTCCTGGAATGGCTAGGCTGCTTCACCAAGCAAAGAAAGAAAAATGTTTTGAGGTTAGTTGTTTGGCGGTTTTATTTTACTGGCGGCTGGCCAGCATGGAGATCCACACCTTAGTATTGTAACACCGTGCTCTAACCAACTGAGCTAAATGTTCAGCCCCAGGTTTCCTTATTTTTATATTCTCCATAATTCATTTTTATCAGATGTTAGCTTATTATCTCAGTACCATCAAGTTGTTGTTCTCAAAACGACCCCTTTGGGAGGGAAAGCCTGTGTTTTGGGTCACTTACCCAACTCCAGTCACAACATCTAGTTGTGCACATACGTGAGCTGCCATTTATCTGGCCACTCGGGCTCTGGAGAGGTTTTCCACCCTGCTTGGCCTACCTGCTTGCCATTCTCCTGTGCAATATGGCATCTACCAGGTTTCTTGGGTCTTCTGCTCCTGTTTACTACATATGCTAATCAAAGCTCATCTTACCTCTTATTTGGCTCTGGATTGATCTCTTCCCCTCTGGCCTCTCCATCCTCTACATCATGCCAACTGTCATTGAAGGGGTGCACGGACGAAGGAATCACGCAAGACCCGGGCTAACAGTTCGCCAGAGAAGTTCCGCTTTATTCAAGGACTGCGTGTATATTTATAGGGAGCTGCGTTCCGGGTTTGGATAGGGGGTGGACAGGGCGGTAGCTGATTGGACAGGTCTGGGCAGGAGGTGAGCCTTGACCTGTGACTGGCTGAGGTTTGGCGCGGGTGGGCTTGGGTGTTGGTGCCAACGGGCTTTGTTTACTGTGGAGAAGAACCCGGAAGGGCGCCATATTGCTAGGGAATGCTTTTCCCCTCCCCCTCTGCTTGAGTGCCCACGGTATCCTTACATTCGAGTGCCTACAGTATCCTTACATTATCCTTACATTCTTCCCTTTTTCCTCTGATGTGGGAATGGGTCGCCGTGATCTTCGAGCTACTTCCTGCTGGACGGGGGCGTAGTAGGGGAAGAGGAATTGGGGGGAGATTGGGGATTTTGTAACAGGACCCAAAAGAGGGTAGAGAATAAGATAATTTCGAAGGGGGAGAACTCTAGAAAGGTTCCCTGAAGCCGCAGGTCGGTGATTTGTTGAGTCCAGTGTGTGTAGGAGGCTGTAGGGGAGAGCATCCAGGCGTCTGCGGCCAAAGCTTCCAGGAACAAGGACCACCGATGAGGCAGGTCCATTTTAACAGCGGGTTAGCTGATCTGGTG